CCGACGCTTCGCCATGTTCTTCTTGCCCAACGCTGTTTTCTTCTCGGCCGCCGCCTTATTTTCGGCAGCCACCGCCTTCTTCGCGGCCGCCGTCTCAGCGGACAAGCGTCTAGCCCGCACCTGCTTCGCGTGGGCGATCTAGCTTGCTATTTTCCCTACCGGTGGTCGACGCAGAGGTGGAGCATGCGGGCGAGATGCCGTAGACGTTGTCGTCGCCGGTTCTGGTACGGACGTTGCTTGGCCAGTCGGGGAATTAGGTCCAAAGTCGGCGTACGTATCTCTCTCGCCCCTCAGATACCCTGGTGCTCAACGTTCAGTCTCGCTCTCTCTGCTATGTTCCTCCCCTCCAGCCTTATCATGAAGGCATCCCGCTCGCTGCGAGTCTGTCGCCGCGTCTCCATCAGCATTTGCGTCTTCCGTGTCGTTTTGCGGCATGAGATGAGTGGCGGTCCCCACACCCAACTCAACTATGGTCTATAAATCAGTTGTACCCACTCGTGTCGGTTTTTGCAATTTCATGTTCTTTCTGTGTAAAATTGGAGCCTACCCGCGTGCATTTCACGGACTTTAACATGTAGTATTATACAACATGTTAAGAAACGGCCAAATCCGGGAAAGGTTTGCATGTTGTTATATACGCCCGTTGAGAAGGGGGGGGGTAAGGTTATCGGTAACCAAATCGCCGCACTGAGCCAAATTGTCACACATGCGATTTTGTTCGTGTTAGTAGTATGGCCATACAAAACCAAGTATGTAAAGTTTTAACTTGTGCTTCAAACATGTCGGGTCGGCAGGTATCATTTTACCGCGAAGCTATATTTGTAGCGAAAGAATCGAACCTAGCGCTCTTGCTCGGACTCGTACCGCAAACTACTACTCTATTTCGAGTCCAACGCGTTTGCAAGTCGTCATTCGCCCTTTAGCAACATCCAGCCAAGCTTCCCAAGTCACACGATGCCGTCGATTTCAAAACGAAAGACCTCCCCGGTAAAGCGAACCTTCAAACCATGAGGTCCTCCTAAACGAAGTGGACAAAGATGGACCTACGCGCAGCTCTTTTTTTTGCTGTCACTGTCACCGGCCCCGAGCGGCTTTCGAAGAGCGCAGCAGAACGTGTATTTGGTGTGTCTGCTAAAGCCGTCGGCCGATATTTGTCTGGACAGTCAATTGGAGTCAAGCAAGGTCAATCAAGTGCTCTTTGACCTGTTGAACAGGAAGCGCTCGAGGATGGCCTACTTGATAGAGCACGTCCGGGGTCCCTGCGATGCGACTGCATCACAAGGCCATCAACTGCTCCGTCGTTCAATCCCCAAGTAGAAGCCATAAGGTAGCTTGAATGACAGAATCACATTCGTACAAGGTTGCTTGAATGTCGTTCTAGCCGACCGGGTCAACATTCACCCTTTTGGGCATACGAG